AGGCGGAGGATTATGCATTTTTATTAACAAAGCTTGGTGCACAAACGCCGCCCTCGATGGGAGACATTTCTCTGCTAACCTGGAATGTGTAATGTTTAAAAGTAAACCGTATTATCTTCCACGGCAGTTTACACCCACCATTGTGACTGCTGCTTATATTCCTTCAGATGCTGATACCAAGCTTGTCATAAACAAACTTCATGCAGCCATCAGCAAACAACAAACTGCTCACCCGGAGGCTGCTTTTATTTCTGCGGGGGTTTTTAACACTCAAACTTAAAGTGCTCCCCAAATTCTATCAAAACATTTTTTGCCACAAAAGGGAAAACTAAACCTTAGACCATGTTTACACAAACATGGCTGAAGCATACACTGTGACCCCCATCAGTCATCACCTTTCTTTGTTCCTTACCTCCAAGTACTCACCCCTCATTAACTGTGTGAAGCCATCAGCGAAGCCATCACACTCCAGGACAGGTTTTAACACACAAACTGAAGTATGTTTGGTTCCCAGGCCACACGTGGCTCTCACACAGACATTGACAGTTACACTTCCTCTGTACTTGAATATATCAACACCACCATAGACAGTGTTACAACCCAGAAACAGATCACTACATACCCGAATCAGAAGCCATGGATGAACAAGGAGGTGCGCTTCCTGCTGAAGGCACATAACACTGCCTTCAGATCAGGGCATGCACAGGCCTACAGCACTTCTAGGGCTAAACGGAAACGGGGCATCAAAAAGGCCAAGCACTGTTACAAGCACTTTTCCAACTCTGATCCTCGGCGCATGTGGCAGGGTATCTAGGCCATCACCAGCTACAAACCCAGTCAGTCCACACCCATAGCCACAGATGTCTCCTTCCTGAACGAGCTAAATGACTTCTATGCCTGCTTTGAAAGAGACAATAAAGAACCCTACACCAGGATCACTTCCTCAACCAACCACTCACCTATCAGACTCACCTCCTCAGAAGTCTACACCGCACTGAGTCAGATCAATGTGCGTAAGACTGCTGGACCTGACGGTATTCCTGGGCGCATCCTTAAAGCATGTGCAGAACAGCTCGCTGGGGTATTTACAGACATTTTCAACCTGTCACTTAACCTAGCAGCTGTGCCACCATGCTTTAAAACCAACTCTATTGTGCCAGTGCCCAAACACTCCAGCCCAACATGCCTGAATGACTACCACCCTGTAGCACTCATACCCATCATCATAAAGTGCTTCGAGTGGTTGGTCCTGGCACATCTAAAAGACTCTGCTATCCACACTGGACCCACATCAGTTTGCCTACCGTGGCAACAGGAGCACAGAAGATGCAGTCTCCATAGCACTGCGCTCTGTACTCACACACCTGGACAATAAAAACACTTATGCACAAATGCTGTTTGTTGACTTCAGCTCAGCATTCAACACTGTCAGACCCTCTAAGTTAATGATCAAACTTAGAGACCTGGATATCGACACATCACTCTGCAACTGGGTTACCGACTTTCTGACTTACAGACCTCAGAATGTTAGATCAGGACACATCTGCTCCACCACCGTCACACTCAACACTGGTGTACCACAGGGCTGTGTACTGAGCCCCTTTCTCTGCTCCCTTTTTACCATCGACTGTAGACCTGTGAACAGATCCAACACCATCATCAAATTTGCAAATGACACCACAGTGATTGGTCTATTCAGCAACAACGATGAGACTGTCTACAAGGAGGAGATACAGCGTCTGGCCACTTGGTGCACTGACAATAATCTGCTCCTTAACACCAACAAGACCAAGGAGCTCATTGTGGACTTCAGGAAGGGACGAACAGGCTCACATTATCCCATCCACAGTAATGGCATGGCCGTTGAGCCTGTCTCATTTTTCAAGATCCTGAGAACCCACATCTCAAAGGACCTTTCCTGAACCACCAACACCTCCAGCCTGGTCAAGAAGGCTCACCAATGCCTCTTCTTTTTAAGGCAACTTAAAAAGAACCAGCTTTCATCAGCCATTTTGGTGAACTTCTATCGCTGCATAATAGAAATCATCCTGACCAACTGCGTCACAGTCTGGAATGGAAGCTGCTCTGTTGCTGAGCATAAGGCATTGCAGCGGGTGGTAAAAACTGCCCAATGTATCACAGGGACCACACTTTCAGCCATTAAGGACATCCAGAGAAAACACTGACTGCGCCGAGCAGTCTGAAGGACACCTTTCATCCCCGCTCACAGACTGTTTTTACTCCCCCGGAACAAAAAACAGCAGACTGAGGAACAGCTTTTTCCCTAGAGCTGTCTCCCTCTTGAACTCTGCCCCTCACTGACTCTTTTGCCCCCATAATATATATATATATATATATATATATATATATATATATATATATATATATATATATATATATATATATATATATAACCATACATACCAACCATATGTACAGCAAAATCAAATTGTTTCCACATAATCAATAAAAGGTTGCCACACCTTAAAAAATAAAAAATGTCTCCTCCGACCCTCTTAATGAAAACCTGATTTTTTTGTTAAATAAAGATATAGTTTCGCTAATCCACTGAGCATGAGTAAGAAGACGAGAATCTTTCCATTTTAGCAAAATAGCCCTAAGTGCCAATAAAGTAAAAAAAGCAATGATTTAACCCTTTGAAGAAGGCAACTGTATTTCTTATGAAGTAACCCCAAACAGTGCCACCTGTGGATCTGGATCTAGCTTGTGATGAAGAATCACAGATAACGTATCAAATATTAATCTACAGAAATCTTGGGATAGTTGGCATAAGTTGGGATAAGTCCAAAACATGTGAAATAAAGTGCCTTCAGCACAATTACATCTATTGCACAAAGAACTAGTACCACTAAATATTTAGGCTAATTTAGAAATATAATAATATAATTATATATATATATATATATATATATATATATATATATATATATATATATATATATATATATATATATATATATATATATATATATATATATAAGCTTTGTGCACTACTTTAAATTGAATGAGGGAGTGCCGGGCACACATTAATGATGAGTGAATTTAAGAAACCACAGCCATATCACCCTGCAGCCCAAGAACGTTTACTCACTGAAGCTAAGCATGGCTGAGCCTGGTCAGTACCACTAGGGAACACTAGGTTGCTGTTTTAAGTGGTGTTAGTAAGGCCAGCAGGGGGAGCTCAACCTGTGGTCTGTATGAGTCCTAATGCCCCAGTAAAAGTGAAGGGGACACTACACTGTCAGTGGACACCGTCTTTCGGATAAGACATTAAACCGAGGTCCTGACTCTCTGTGGTCATTAAAAATCCCATGGTACTTCTCGTGAAAGAGCAGGGGTGTAACCCTGGTGTCCTGGCCAAAGTCCCTCTATCAGCCCTTTTGATCATGGCCTCCCAATCTTCCCTTCTACCGATTTGACTGTATCACTGTCACTCCACTCCACCAATAGCTAGTGTGTGGTAAGCGCACTGGCGCCGTTGTCCTGTGGCAGCTGTCGCATTATCCAAGTGGATGCTGCACACTGGTGGGGGTGTGGAGAGACCCCTCTCATGATTGTGAAGCGCTTTGGGTGTATGGCCATACACAATAAATGCACTATATTAATACACATTACATTACATTACAATTTTTTATATCGTCCCACAGATCATTTGATATCAAACCACAAAGATCCTCTTCCCAAGCACTCTTAATGTTATCTGTAAGGGAAAAGGATTGGTTCAGGTGGCGTCTGTTGTGGCGAAACTGTTGTCCTGCTTCATTGACAACATTGTATGACCTTGGCTTATTTCGTTTTGAAACAATGAGACCTGGCTGCCACCCTCTGTTTGTTTCAATGTGTACAGTATCTTAAGCATTCAAATCTGACAAGGATTTTGCACCTACGTTGTAGTGGCACGCTTGCTTCTTTTGCAGGGTTTGGAGTGCCTGGTGAACAACTTTGGGTGTAACTGGTCGCAGGACTTCAATAGACACTGGTAAGGTGCTCCTTAGGACTCTTCCCATCAGAACTTGAGCTGGTGAATAGGATGTGCCAGTGATAGGAGTATTTCTCAACAAGAGAAGAGCAAGTTGATGATCCTCTCTTGATTGTTCTGCTTTTTCAGGATGTGTTTGACAGTTTTGATTGTTCTTTCAACCCGTTGGATTGAGGATAGACTGGACTTGAGTGTGTCATCTTAATGCCCCACTCTGCAGCGAATTTCTTCATTTCATAGCTGGCGAAGGGTACGTGAACGCACACTTGCAGCTCTTTTGGAATGCCATGTCTTGCATACACTGTTTTCATTTTTTCAATAGACTCTATGCACAAACTCTGCTGACGTGTTTCCGGTAGAATATAAGCCAGTCTCTCAGCTTCCGCCTAACGTGTTCTACAGTAAAATCTTACAGCAGCGAAACCTAAACACGTTTGGAGCATGGCAAAGAAGGGAGATATACACTTAAATTGATGAGGATCCTGTGCCAGTGGATGCCCAACATCTGGAACATCTTTATTGTTCAGTTCCACAACCCACGGCAGATGATTAATGCACCGGATCAGGCTCAAAGTCTCCGTGAGGAGGTGGAGTGACTGAAAAGAGACTGCTTCGATGCTGCTTTTGATGTAATTCAGTTCTAAAGGTACAATTAAACATGATGTATCTGAATTTAACCCAGATGAAAGAAGTGACAAATTGTAATTGTATGTTATGTTAAATAATATTATGCTATTTTTTTAACTATACTATAGTAAATTGTACTATACTGTATATATTGTAGTACTTAAAGGGACTTTGACTTTGATGTTGTAGTATTTACAACTTTCTGTTAATGAATGCAGCAACATACTCAGTATTAACCATCACTAACTTCAATAAATTGCAGTATAGTTAATATATATATATATATATATATATATATATATATATATATATATATATATATATATATATATATATATATATATATATATACACGTGTCCAGAGTAAGAGCACCTGTAAGGGAGACACAGTCCATGCCATGGCTAAGGGTCCACACTGAGCATCTCATCCGCAGCATGAAGCAACACAAGATGGATAATCATCATCTTTTTCTATTACAGCGAGCACCAACCAGTTTTATACAATGGCTTGCCTGCTGTGCATTAGTAGAAGCTTGAGCTAAAGATTAAAGAATACACACTGTCAGAAAGCCCACTAGGAACCGAAAATATTTAGCGAGTTTCACACGGACTGTTATTAGCGGTGCAACTTCCCATACTCAGATGCCGGGCCAGATCACAATGCGCTCCTTTTCTTCCGACATGTTGTGCGTTCATGCACCAAATGTGAGTAATAATGTGACGATCACTGAGTGAACATTTACTCCTTTCATATAAGAGACTGTTTGTTATATATGACGACGATCGCGCCGCGTTCGCGGGAAAATATCGCTCGCGCTAGCCGCGAGAGAATACAGTGTGCAATATATGCTCCGTCATTCCGCCTATTGCCTTTTACTGCCATTTAACTAATTAGTTTGTTTGTTATAACGTATATATTTGTTCCTTTATTATCACGGTTTAATCATTGTATATATGGTGTGATTTCTCATTGAAGTGAATGTGTAAAGATACCTTATATTTATACTGTATTCCTCATCTGTTCTACAGACCACAACATACTTGGAAAGTTTGATGGCACTGACTGCTTAATAATTGTTATTAAAGAAGTTTGAAGAGGATTACTTCTTTGTTGCCTGATTCTCTGACCGGAATCAATGTCCATATTTGTCCGCCAGTAGAACTGTAAATTTACTCCGTTGACAGAGGTATAGTACCCCGTCACAAGTTGGTCCTTCGAGCCGGAGCTGGCAAAGCAAACAATATGGACAGTGCAACTGTAGTTGTATCAGACCCCGCAGCCAGACCGAAGAGAAAGGGTAAACTGCCATCACATTTGGGAGATTATGAAGTTGGCTATACACTTCCTGAGGGCCCTCCTTCAATCACTGCTTCACGCTGTCACAGCCAACATAAAAGCCAGTCAAGGAAAACGTCCCATAGTAAAGCCAGCCTTCATTCTAAATCCAGTAGTTTTTCCACTACTTCTCGTGCACAAGCTACTTTAGCACTCACAAGCAGTCAGGCAGCCATCGTGGAGGAAAAAATTAAGCAGCGTCAGTATGATAACCTTCTTGAGCAGATGGAGGAGGACAAGCTGGCCGAAATAGAATATCACAGACTGCGAACACAAGCTAAGGAGGCTCAGCGCGTACAGGAAGAGGCTCTGGAGGCAAAGGAAGCATTAGCTAATCAATTGGAAAGACAACGGAAGCTGAAAAAGGCCGAAGCTGACTTAGAAGTCGCTAAACTTGTAAATTCTTTACTCAGCCAAGACCTAAGTGTGATCGATGCTGAACCTCAAGCATCCCCAGACACCACAGCACCGCCACCAAAGTCCCTTTGTGCTAGCCCAGCTCCATCTTCTGTCCTACAGCAGTCTTCATGCTCCGCACCGCCCAGAATGCAGATCATACAAACTGTTCCAGAGGCACAGAGCACATTAAAGGATCCTTATATGGCCCATTCAACACCCTACTTTCCCCCAGGGGCGCTACAGGCAACTAAGTTAACACAAGCTCCAGCTCACACTGCCCAAATGGCCAATCAGCATCCACCAAACCCAATTTCAGTGCCACGACCCACTTTTAACCCTATGCATACAACAGTTACTCATAATGCTATGCCCCACACAGACAGTGATATTATACCACCAACAGCTCCTCATCAGAGGGTGACAGTTGCATCCAACATGCCTATTTGCCCACAGCCCTATGCAAATTCACCTGTTTCCCAAACTGGCTACTTGCCTCAACCCGGAACAGAGCTTTTGATGGCCGCAGCCTATGGCATCCCTCGCCCAACACTACCTGTGTTTGAAAGTGGTACAGAAAGTGACTTTGCCCTCTTGAAATTGGCCTTAGACAGCCTACTAAGTCCCCATACTCACATTAGCGAGCAATACAAATACCAAGTATTAATGAGTCATCTGAAATTTGCTAGTGCACAACAGCTAGCTAAAGCTTATATGCACCACCCACAACCTTACACCGCAGCCTTACAAGCTTTACAGGCGAAGTACGGCCAGCCCAGACAGCTAGTTCAATCTGAATTAGGGGCTATTATGAGTACACCTCCACTTAAAATAGGTGACACAAACTCATTTGACTCATTCGCCCTGTCTGTCCAATCCCTAGTCGGTATGCTGAGGACTCTAGAGGGCCAGAATGGATTTGAGCTCATGTGTGGTTCCCATGTTGACCGCCTTTTAGGAAAAATGCCCCCTGCCTACAGAGATAGCTTTGTGGAGTACTGCTTTAGTCATGGCATCCTTCAATCTGGTACAGACAGAACGTATACACTACCTGACCTAGCAGCCTGGTTACAGACAAAATCCCAAGCCAAGCGGATCTCCAGTAGAGCGGTTGCTATGTTCCAGTCAGATATTACAAAGACATCTGGCAGGAGTAAAAGTTCTTCATATCATTGGGAACGTCCAACGACTTCGTTTCTGACTTCAGAAAACGCTGTTAAGCCACCAGCAGCAACACCGGCAAAGGTCAGTCCCAAGCCAAAGCCGTATTGTCCGTACTGTGACAACCCAGACCACTATTTGAACTCATGTGACAAATTCAAGAAGCTCACCACCGATCAAATCGTCAGTTGGATCACAAGAGACAAACGCTGTTGGAAGTGTGGGAGGAATCACTCAGTTAATACTTGTAACCTCAAGCGGCCATGTAAAATATGCAAAGAAATCCATCTTACCATACTGCATGACTCAATTAAAGACACTTCCAGAGCAGTTCTAATGGTGAGTTTGCCTTCGACACAAATCTATCTGGATAGACCTAACCGCTCACAGAAGGTGATGCTCAAGGTCGCACGAGTTCTGCTGCACAGTCAAACCCAAACTATTGAGGCTTATGCCGTGCTCGACGATGGCTCAGAAAGGACTATTGTCCTCCCTCAAGTAGTTCGACAGCTTGGGCTTAGTGGAGTTCCAGAAGTGCTTTCTCTGCAGACAATCCAGCGAAACCATACTAACCTTAATGGGTCCAAAGTCACCTTTGAGGTCTCTCCATTTGCCAAGCCATCAGAGAGGTATGTCATACGCAATGCCTTTTCTGCCCCTGGTCTATGTCTTGCTGAGCATAACTACCCCGTAGCAGCACTACAGAAGTCATACCACCATTTGAAAAGTCTGCCTTTACAGCCAGTAGACAGAGTCAAGCCGTTACTCCTCATAGGGTCTGACCTGCCACACCTCCTGACGCCAACACAGCCAGTACGAAGGGGACCAGATGGTGGCCCCGTTGCTATACATACCAAGCTTGGTTGGGTACTACAGGGACCAATGAGTCCAATTCAGCCCCCCAAAGGCCTGCAACAATGCCTACATATTATGACAGCCCCATCACGTGAAGAGCTGTCTCAGCATGTGGAGCGCTTGTGGCAAATTGACACATTGCCATACAATGAAAAGCTGATAACAAGATCACAGCAAGACAAACAATGCCATAACCTCTTACAGACTACTACTGTCAGAGTAGACGTAAATGGGATACAGCGTTATGCTACTCCACTGCTAAGACGTACCCCCATCACTTTGCTCCATACAGGCGTTGAAGCTGTATTGCCCAGCCTCAGAAACCTTGAAAGAAAATTAGCCAAAAATCCTTTGCAGGCACAGGTTTACTGTTCTGAGATCCAAAAGCTTGAGTCAGCAGGTTACATCGCAAAGATAACACCACAAGAGGCAAACCACTCCACAGAGTCATGGTTTATCCCACACCACCTGGTGCATCATAATGGAAAAGATCGTATCGTCTTTAACTGCTCCTTCCAGTATAATGGCCAAAGTCTAAATGAACAACTTCTTCCTGGGCCAACGCTAGGACCATCTCTGTTGGGGGTGATTTTGAGGTTCCGACAGCATGCCGTTGCAGTGAGTGGGGATATCAAAGGCATGTTTCACCAAGTGCGTCTGTTACCTGGGGACCGGCCTGTGCTGCGATTCATCTGGAGGAATATGAATAGGGAGGCAGTTCCGGACATTTACGAGTGGCAGGTTCTTCCATTTGGCACAACATGCAGCCCGTGCTGTGCCATTTATGCCCTTCAGTGCCATTCCCAGGAAAACAGAGAAAGTAGGCCAGACCTAGCTGATATTGTGGAGACCTCATTTTATGTCGACAACTGCCTTCACAGTACCCCCAATCAGGATGAAGCCAAAGCTATAATTGATGGCCTACGTGAGTCACTGTTAAAGGGAGGCTTTGAAATCCGACAGTGGGCGTGCAACGTACCTTCTGTCCTGAAGCATCTTCCATCAGAGGCTATATCGGCTAGTAGCGAGTGCTGGTTGTCCCAGAGTAGCTCTTACCTGCAGGAACTCACACTTGGCTTGCAATGGAACTGTATTGATGACACCCTTGGTTATAAAACCCGCATAGCCGAACCCATCCAGCCAACAATGAGAAACCTGTACAAAACCCTGGCTAGTCAGTTTGACCCCCTGGGCTTTATTATACCCTTTACCACTAGGGCTAAAACCTTGATTCAGGATCTCTGGAAACAAAACCTAAGCTGGGATGACCCTATCGAACCCTTATACTTGCGTGATAAATGGTCCACATGGGTTGCAGAACTGTCCCATATCACTACAGTACAATTTGCCAGACCATACGCTCCTGCAATGTCAGATACTCCCTCCACCATCAGAGAGTTACATGTATTCTGTGACGCCTCAGAAAGGGCATATGGCTCGGTGGCCTATCTTCAAATCCGGAATGAGGAGAAGGTCCATGTATCCTTTGTCCTAGCTCGCTCTAGAGTGGCTCCTCGCAAATGTTTATCGATGCCCCGCCTGGAGTTGTGTGCTGCACACTCTGGCGCTCAGATGTCAAAGGTCATACAAGCTGAGCTTACTATCCCCATACACCAAGTTACACATTGGACCGACTCAACTACTGTGCTGCATTGGCTAAAGTCAGAATCTTGCCGGTACAAAGTGTTCGTAGGGTCGAGAGTAGCTGAAATTCAGACACTGACAGATGTGTCCAAGTGGAGGTATGTTGACTCCAATAGAAACCCTGCCGACCACATTACCAGGGGGCTTACTTTAGAGGAAATAGCAGGCCCTCACCAGTGGAGATATGGACCATCATTCTTGACTCAACCACAGGAAGTATGGCCAGTGACACCCAGTACAAAGTCTGAACCTGATATGAATGAAGTCAAACGAGCATCGTTTATTGCAGCCATTAGTGTTACCCCAAGCCCAGTACCAGCAGACCTCAGTCAGTTCAGAACTTGGAAGAAACTTCTTCAAGCGACTGTCACATCTTGTGATGGGGCGGCTGACGCTGAAACTACAAATGATGCCTCAAAGTATATACAGGCGGAAAAGCTTCTCTTAGCGCATGCTCAGCTTGATTCATTCCCAGAGGAATTCAGAGCCCTGAAAGCTGGACAGCCCATTCCGACAGATAGCCGTTTGAGTTCTCTTGCTCCAGAATTCGACAAAGATGCTGAGTTGATAAGAGTGGGTGGACGTCTTCGTCGAGCTGAAACCCTGTCATTTGATACTATTCACCCGATTGTTCTAGACTCTCACCATCAAGTCACAAAGTTACTGATCCAAGACATAGATCAACAACTCCATCACCCTGGTGCAGAACGAGTACTAGCAGAGCTAAGGCGTCGATATTGGGTGCTTAGAGGTCGCGAAGCTGTGCGGAAACACCAGCATTTCTGTCAGAACTGCCAATTCTGGCGTGCCAAGCCACAGAACCCACAAATGGCCGACCTACCACCATGCCGACTACGTCTGTTTAAACCACCATTCTACTCTACGGGCATAGACTGCTTCGGACCCTTTCACATAAAGATAGGCCGGCGCAGGGAGAAAAGATGGGGGATCTTATTCAAGTGTTTAACCACCAGATGTTTGCATCTTGACCTACTTGAACATCTAGATACTGATGCCTTCCTTCTGTCTCTACGACGTTTCATATCCCGTAGAGGGAAGCCTGCTGAAATACTCTGTGATAATGGGACTAACTTTGTAGGAGGGGACCACGAGTTAAGAGACTCATTTAAGCAAATGGCCCCAAAGCTTCAGACACAGCTAGCTCAACAGCAGATTCAGTTTCGATTTAACCCACCAAACGCACCTCACTTTGGTGGAACCTGGGAGCGAGAAGTGAAATCGGTTAAGGCTGCTTTGCAAGTCATTCTTCGGGAACAATGTGTACCAGAGTCTGTCCTACAAACCTTACTAGTGGAGGTGGAGGGCATACTAAATTCCAAACCCTTGGGCTACGTCTCATCTGACATTGCCGACCCAGATCCTGTAACCCCAAATATGTTACTAATGGGACGTCATGATGCCTCCTTGCCCCAAGTCCTTTATGACTCTAACGAGATGCTGGGTAAACGCAGGTGGCGACACAGTCAAGTACTGGCTGACCAATTCTGGGCTGCATTTGTCCATCGCTACTTACCAGAACTACAGGGCAGGCAAAAATGGAGAACAGATGGTAAAGGGCTGGTAGTCGGCCAAGTTGTACTACTTATAGATAATCAACTCCCGCGTGCGCTGTGGCCTGTGGGAACTGTTACAGAGACCTATGCAGGGGCGGATGGGAGGATTCGAACTGCCAAAGTCCAAGTCAAGGATAAGTCGTATCTGAGGCCTGTTGTAAAACTCATTCAAATTCCGGAAATGAAGGATAAAGACACGGAAACCAAAGGTGGCCTTTCTTAAGGTTTACAATTATCTTTATCGATAATTGGGGGCGGCTATGTCAGAAAGCCCACTAGGAACCGAAAATATTTAGCGAGTTTCACACGGACTGTTATTAGCGGTGCAACTTCCCATACTCAGATGCCGGGCCAGATCACAATGCGCTCCTTTTCTTCCGACATGTTGTGCGTTCATGCACCAAATGTGAGTAATAATGTGACGATCACTGAGTGAACATTTACTCCTTTCATATAAGAGACTGTTTGTTATATATGACGACGATCGCGCCGCGTTCGCGGGAAAATATCGCTCGCGCTAGCCGCGAGAGAATACAGTGTGCAATATATGCTCCGTCATTCCGCCTATTGCCTTTTACTGCCATTTAACTAATTAGTTTGTTTGTTATAACGTATATATTTGTTCCTTTATTATCACGGTTTAATCATTGTATATATGGTGTGATTTCTCATTGAAGTGAATGTGTAAAGATACCTTATATTTATACTGTATTCCTCATCTGTTCTACAGACCACAACATACTTGGAAAGTTTGATGGCACTGACTGCTTAATAATTGTTATTAAAGAAGTTTGAAGAGGATTACTTCTTTGTTGCCTGATTCTCTGACCGGAATCAATGTCCATATTTGTCCGCCAGTAGAACTGTAAATTTACTCCGTTGACAGAGGTATAGTACCCCGTCACACACACACTGTACATAATTTATATGTTGTTGCCTGCACTGCAGGAATATAAAGTTGTCAATATAATAAACATTAATTTTCAACATAATCATTCAAACATATATTACATAACAATTTAAGTGAACAATTGCTCTGCACTAATGTAAATATAAATAAGAATTTTAAGATATAAATATATAAATTTAGAATATATAAATTTATATACTTGCACTGCAGGTGTAAATAAGCAGGGTATAATATGCATAGAGAAATATGCAATGCTCACCTCCATCAAATGTACCACCTCTGTCTTTTGACAAAAATCAGGCAGGCAACTACCGTCAGACCCCAAGTGATGCTCAAGCACTGGTTGTATTTAATTATATTTAATGCATAAAACACATAAAATGTATTTGTTTCAAGTCACAAAAATGTAATGAATGGGATGCTACCTCCAACTCATTTTGAACAAGGAAAACCTTGAAATATGTAAATATGAATAAGTAGACATTTGCACTGCAGCAATGTAAAAACATAACTTTAGACATTTGCACTGCAGTATAAATATAAATAGTTTGACACAATGTTAAACATTTCCCTTACAGGAATGTGAAAAAATACAACATTAAACAATTGTTAAATAAGAAGTTGTGAGTGTTTTGTTCAAATCTGTAATCATTTTGACAGGTAAAAGTAATCATCATTTCCTGAGAATAAATAGCCTCCCACTCAAACTATGCAGCTTCTCTGACTTCATCATCGACCTGAAACACGTCACACTGATCTCTCATGTCACTCCATCCTAACAGGAAACCTGGAAAGTAAAACGTTAGCTAATAACTCATACTAGTTCACACTTATGGATATTAAGCACAACATGTACATGTATGTAAATAGATAGATATACAGATAGATAGAAATGACACAGCTAATAAAAATATAACATACAAATCGATATAAACTGTGAAAAACACACACGGCTAGTGTTTAATTGCTATTCCTTTTTATAGCATGATAATACTCACCCTCAAAATGATGAATGTAACTCGAAATGTAGAATTTCTAACCTCTTTTCTTTTTTGCTGCTTGATGTGACAGCTCTCTGTCTCACGATTCGATTAAAGGGCACCTATGGTAAAAAATCTACTTTTTAAGCTATTTGGACAAACATGTGTATATATAGTGTATATACCATCATATTGGGGTGATATAAACATACCCAGTCCTTTTTTTTCAATTTAACAACATAAAATCAGTGGACCAATTAGAGCGGTTTTCAGACCGACTGCAACTTTACATAAGAGTGCGGTCCCCCTTCCCACTGAATTGATTGACAGCTGCACGTGTATATATGTCAGCAAGACCAGACATACGCAAAGCAACCGGGAATAAAAGGTCTGTTCTGTTTGCTAGGATCAGCAATCATCATCAAATGTGATTAAGAGTAAGTTTCACATGTTTAAAGTGTTTTAAAACAGTGGACATGTGTAATGAAGTACAGCGATTTACTTCAGCTTTACTTCATCAGCACAGCCGCGTGTCAGAACAATTATTGTATAAAAGAAGACACTTCAGTCCTGGTTTGTGGGCGTTAAATCAGGTTTATTTTGTACAATAACATAATAGATTTCCACACAGCAGTGGAGGTTAGCCTGTATCCTGTCACATTTGAGTGCAATAACAGTGCAAAGCTAAGCGCGCTCTGTCTGTCTGCCTGTCTGTGTGTGTGTGTGTGTGTGTCAGCTGCGGTGTGCGTGTGTATCTGTGTGTGTGTCAGCCGGGTGTGCGTGTGTATCTGTGTGTGTGTGTGTGTGTGTGCGCGTGAACTTTGTAACGATATTGCATGTGACTCATCAATGCAACTTCACAACAAATACTGATTAGTAAGGCTCTTACTGTAGTATTTCTCACAAACGCTACATGAGACCTACTTCCTTTAAGTCTGTCTGTTGTCTGACGCAGCCGAGGAAGGAGATTAAAGGACACGGGAAGGCACATAGAAACAGTAGGCGGCAAAAACTTGTCTTAAAGGCGCAGTACGACAAAACCACCCCCTGCGGTCTTGTCTTTGATGTTCATCACCTCAGGAAACTTTGACATGTAATCAACAATCAAAATAAATGACTGACTTCTGATTTCGAAGATGTTAGCAGTTACTTTTAACCAGGGAAGCTCTGGGATTTCATGAGAGATGAGTGGCTCTTTCTGGTTCCTGGGCTGGAACTGTTGGCACGTTGGACACATCTCAACCGTCTGCTTTTTGTGTTTAGTCATTCCAGGCCAATACAGACATTTTCTGGCATGTGCCTTTGTGCGCTGCATTCCTTGGTGTGAGATGTGTAGTTTCTCGGGAATCAGAATTCTACCATATACCAGTAATATGCCATCTTGCACGGCCACAGTGTGTCTGACAGGCCAAAACTGATGAATAGAGGGACCAAGTTAATTTCTGTGTGTCGGCCATCCTGTCCTTTGTGTTTTCACAAGCAACTGGAGTGTGCTGTCCTTTTTGCTTTTTGATTGAGAAGACGATCGCCAGCAGCTCCTTTTCAATCTTTTTTTCTCTATCTGTTAATGCCAGGGACGCATATGCTATTGGCTGCCCCTCCTGCAGCAGACATGCTCCTAAGCAATCTTTGGATGTGTCTGTCTATATGGTGAGTGCTGTGTTGGGGTCATAGCACTGGTGTGTTGGTTAGTGCTGTCTTGAGTGCAGACAGGGCCTCATGTTCCGGTTGCCACTAGAATGTAATGTCCTTTCTTAACAGCTGTCTAAGAGGGGCCATCAGTAATGCCTCACCTCTAATAAATGGTGCGAGATATTGTATCATGCCCAAAAGACGCTGCAGTGCTTGTCTGTCCTCGGGTGCTGGCATGCTTACTACTGCCTGTATCTTGTGGATTTATCATGTGGCCCATGAAATGTACATTATTCACCTTGAACTTGATCTTGTCGGGGTTAAATTTCACATTGTGTTTTTCTGCTCTCTGCATTATTTCAGCAACAATGACATCATGTTCTTGTTCTGTGGCAGCAGCAACAATCATATAATCCACTACAATGTGTACACCCTGTATGTTTCTATACACTTCATTGTTGTACTGCTGGAAAACTTTACTAGCAAACTTGACACTAAACGGCAGACATTTGAATCTATATCTACCCCATGGCGTATTATTGCATAGTAGAGAAGATTCTGTATCGAGTCTGACTTGCCAGTAGCCGTCCTTTTCATCAAAGATAGAGAAAATGTTCTTTCTTGAAAGCTTACACAGAACATCTTCAGTTATATAATAGAGAAATGAATAGAGAAATGTTGACGAAGGATAGCTTTATTAAGGTCACGAGTATCCAGGCATACTCGTAATGACCCATTCTTTTATTCAGTGATAACGAGGCTGTTGACCCAAGGAGTGGGCTGAGTGACTGGCGCTATAACATCTGCTTGCAACAGCTAATCCAGTGTATCCTTTAGTTTGCCCAGCAATGCCAAGATAATTTTTTTCCACAGCCATGTTTGACAGGGATTGCCTTCGGACCACCATAATTGTGGTGTTCACCCGTAAACTCACCGAGCCCTTCAAAGTAGAGCTGTACAATTCTGGAAAAAAATGAGAATCACGATTTTTTTTTTTTTTTTTTTTTTGCTTGAACAAAGATCACGGTTCTCTCACGATTCTGTGGAACTTTTTTATTTGAAATGTTTCCCCCTGAACATTATCAAACAGCTGTAAAATAGCAGTAAATAGGAAACAATACTCTTTAAATTAAAATAAATGTATTGAAAAATCATGAAATAATTTAAAGAAAAAGGCATAAAAAGCTATTATGTCATATTATGAGTAAATGATCTGATTTAAAGATGAAGTGATTTAAAGATTCTTAACTGGAAACACTAGCCTATCAACATTTTGTGGCTTCAGTGCAGAACGGCGACAAGAGACAATGTTGCCTCCTGTGCTGAAAACCCTTTCAGAAGGGGAACTGGTTGCAGGAATGCATCTTGGATACTGCTCCTTATGAGCCTTCCACCACACTAATGGATTGACTTCACTGTCAGCGTTGCTTAAGAACAGGTAAGACTGTAGCTCCATGCTGACAGATTGTTGTCGCTGTGAGGCTGGATCTGTTGGCCCTGTGTTTCTTTGTGCTGGTTTGAAGAAACTCCCTAAGGTCTTTCGAGTCTTAGTTTCAGGACTGCTACTGCTAGTTATAGTAGGCAGACTTTCCTGTGAAGGACAAATCATGTTGATTTAATAAGTTTATTCATGTTAAAAAATAATGTATTAACAATTTAAACAATTCTGTACATTGTAATACACCTTATATATATCTAGATTTACCTGAACTGTTGTTAGCTTTGACATCTCATCTTGTATTTTGTTTTGGACAGCAGTTTTGTTATCTTTATTGACATACGCCATCTTAAACCTGGGGTCGAGGGTTGTTTTTTGGTCTTGATATTTTTCCTCCAGATACCCCACAATCTTGGATTTTATTGTGCAAATAAGGTCAGAGTAATCTTCCTTAACAGCCAAAACAGAAGACTTGAAAAGGTGGAGAGCAGGTTTCACAGAAGAGACACTGACATACTGCTCTCCTGAAAGAGCATCTGTGAAGTCAGCTAGTGGGGTGAGAGTCTTGTCCACAGCCTCCAGGACCTCCAGGTTTTGCCATGTCAGAAAGAGGTGCATAGCCTTGCGGTCAGAGGACAGGACATGGGTGATGGCAGCTTGCTGCTCAAGTACTCTCCTCACCATAGCCTGCCTAGATCCCCACCTTGTTGAACACTCCGTCTTGAGCTTGTGGTCTGGTAAACAGAGTTGTTTTTGTGCCTCAGAAAGATCCCTCTTCCTCTTTCAACTGTAGCTGAAACACCCGACAACCTTTTTGCACAAACCTATAGCACGTTCAATT